CGGAAGGCGACAGGGCAAATGGGGCCTGAGCGTGGCCCGAAAGCCAGTCCACGTGTACAGGGCCTACTCATATTACATATTGCCCGCCAAACGCCATGCGATCACATAAACGAAGCATTACAACCACATATCTATGAAGGCAAATTACACACATTATTATATATTACAGAGGGAACGAATGAGTTGTCCCCTTAACCCTCTTAAGCATATCACTTTTTCGACTGCTTAAATGAATGGCGGATACTCCAGAGGCCACCTCCCTTCTTCTAGTTGAACACATCTTAGAATGATTTCAAGGCTGTCCTTATTTTAATTTATCTAATAATATGCAATAGGCCAAATCTTGAGCTTCCGATGTTTGACACGACGTCTGGAGAAGCTATATCACGAACGTTATATGCTTCCTCAGAAGACAAATTAGTTAAGAGGAAATTGCTGACTCCTGTAAGGTTTGAGACGCTAATGTCATCGTGATACCATTATTGGCTTGTAATTTTTAATTTGACCACTTAAATACCAATGTTGCTTTAGCTGGTCGAGGTGTTGTCCAGGACGAGCCATAAGACCTGACTCGAGTACTGCCTTCCAACTTTATAATTTATGCACACATACTAAGCTTTTGTATTAAACGATTTCACAAAAATTTAGGAGCTATGTGCATGTTAGAAGTAATGATATTCAGGATAATACCCTTAGGTGCTGGTAATTTAAGGTAACCGAAATATTTACCACGGAAGTTGTTTGCATTTGAGCTAAAGTGAATGCAGCTAGCTCCCCAAAGGCTCATTGCAATTAATAATTTGTTATATAGGAATACATTATTACCTATTAAATAGATACAAGGTTTTAAGCTTTGTTACAATAGTACAAGTTTGAGGCATATGCCACTTTCTTGTCGATAAATTTGCACACTTTTTGAGGGCTTTATAGGCTTAATTAACAGAAGTTGCAAACACTACTCTCTAGAATTCCTTTGAGGCAACTACATTTATTAACAAATTACAATAAACCTAGTCGTTTTTAAATTATACTGTTTCAAAGCGCGGCTAGCGTAAGTCTGGCTTCGTTGTTGACCCCCTTTTGGTGGTGATTTTGAAATATACTACGCGATTTCATCATGATGGTCGTGGTTTCTTGTTAATGCCTTTGATCTTAGCTTTAAGAATTTTTCAGGCGCATTTAAATACATTAACATTCTGGTCGAGCTGACTTGGTTCGAATATCCATTTTTGTAGGCTACTATTTGAATACTTCTTGGATATTTTGGAATCACTTGTAGCCTTCTAGCACTCCGATTTTGGAGCTTGAATTAACGATACAATTTTATTTAAGTCTCGCCTTTAAGTCAATCTTCTCTCGGCTCCTTATTCACCAGTTAAGTTATGGATATACCTCTTTATGATCTGCCTATTTCACATTTTTCTGCAACCTTTTTCCCCTTTAGTAGACTTCTTGTACTTCTGCTCCGTTCGCCATACAATCGTTTATGCAGTACGTAGTTTCTGGTTTGCGTTATCGTTGTTTGTTTCTCAGGCTCAACGAAATTGTTTGTGTTTGTAACTGCAAAAGCGGTGCCTTTATTTCCAAGATTGTGTATCACAATTTCTTTAACTCCTTAAATGTGTCATCGGGTAGGAACTTAAACTTCCTCACCCTTATAGGAGTGAATATTTTGGCATATCGTCGATATCATTCCTTTTTGCACCATGCTCTAGTAGTTCACCAAACCATTTCGCGCCATCTTTCTGCTCTTCTTAATGAATTGTTATGTTACTACCTCGGTACATGCTAATGGTCCTTGCACTTCTAGCTTTGCCTTTTATTTCAAAGAACCTGTGTGAAAGATACTTTTGGTCTCACGTGGAACTTTGGTCATGCGGGAATACAAGTTGGTGGTTCTCGGCAGCGGGGGCGTCGGTAAAAGCGCATTGACCGTACAGTTTGTGCAAAGCATTTTCGTCGAAAAGTACGACCCCACCATTGAGGACAGTTATAGGAAACAAATCGACGTGGATGGCCAGCAATGCATGCTTGAAATTCTTGATACTGCAGGCACCGTATGTAGTCAAAATTTTTCTAATTGTTAATTTAGCTAAGTTTCTATTTTCGCCTTGACTCATTGTTAACAATCATGCAATCCAAGTACTCCCTTTACGCATTTTTCTCGAATTCTTGGTAGGTTCGGATGAAACTTTAGTAGGTTGGTTCTTATGGTCTAGGTTTAGTGCGTGGCAGATGAACGCCCTCTTGTCTGCATAGGGCAGGATGTCTAAGGACTGTTTGTGTTGAACCATAAAATGTGCGTTTTTGTAGGAGCAATTCACGGCTATGCGCGATCTCTACATGAAAAACGGTCAGGGTTTTGTATTGTGCTACTCTATTACCTCCCAGTCCACCTTCAATGACTTGGCGGATCTCTACGAGCAGATTCTGCGGGTAAAGGATACGCACGAGGTACCTCTGGTGCTGGTTGGAAATAAGTGCGATCTTGACAACGAGCGCGTAGTGGGAAGAGAGCAAGGTCAAACTCTGGCTAGGAATTGGAATTGCGTTTTTATGGAGACCAGTGCCAAAGCCAAAATCAATGTTAATGAGGTACGATTTTTCAGTCGTCCCTATCGTCTAATTTCATTTTCCTACTTTACCTTTTATGTGGGTAGCTCGAGTACCACTTGAACCATACCTCAACTCGATGAGGTGTAATTGTTTCCACAAGTCTGTCTACTTTTGCTTGAGGTATGCTCCAAGCTGTAGGTCGATTGCCTATAAGCTAATCAATATTTTGAATTTCCTGCTTACCATTAGTCATTTCCAATAATCCACTTTATATTGAAAATATATTAAGGCGTTGCATACGACTTGTTTGGCGGTCCTTTACCTACACTTTACTCATTGTTGACATCAACACAGGTATTTGAATCAACTTGAGGTAAGGTGAACGCTAAAGACTTGTATTAGTCCAATTTGATGTTATGACAATGCTTATTTATTCATATTCTGTAACTAATATTGGAAATGGTCGTTTCATTAAAGTCGTTCGTCCGTTTCTGCACTATCAAAATAAATGCAATTGGATTGAAGCGGTCGGACTCCTTTGTTGAGTTCGCGCCTTCTCCCGTTTCCTCACGTCGAGTGAACGGGGTTTGTGCGTATGCGTATATTGACCAAACGTGTACACACGGGTACAGACTTAAACCGTGTGAAAGCCTGTGCGAGCGAAACACTAGCATACGCGTTCGTGCTAGCATCTTGGCGACCACGCGATTTGTTTTGGGGTGCGCATGTGTATGCGTGCTGAGTCATCTTCGGCGCGTGTGTGCGCTCGCTCTCACCTGGCGTTACCAGAGGCCTTCTGCATCCGCTATAGGGTGCCGCTATCCACCCCTCTCTCATTCTCTACGCGCCTTGAAATCCGTTCCTGTACTCGTGGCCGTATCGCATCGTATATAGTGCTAGCCAGCGAAGCTTTGGGTTTGTGCGTACGTTCATGTAATGCCAAGACCCCTTCCGAGACTCAATTTTGGTGTCTACGCGCACGCACAAAAACGTCCGCTACTCTTTGGCCTTTACCAACCGTTCTTTTGCCATATTCAGTCTCTACACTTGTTTTTACAAAAAGGTGTTTGTAGGCGAATACGAACCTGATGATGCATTTCGACCCCACTGTGCAGGGTGTGCATAAACAATTTCCGCCAAAGTTTATGCAACTCTAGGAGCGTAGTCGTTAGGCTTTGTTTATGCCGTAGAGCCTTGTTTACGACGCCATGACATCGGTAGTCTTTTTTAAACTCGTGTTACATATTCACCTATCACTTAGAGTAACCATTCATCGCTTTCAGATATTATCACATTTTCTGGTGTATCTGATTAATTTCCTTATTCTTCTGTGACATGGCTTTGTCCAGAAATTTGGTTAAGGATTACTAACAATTCCTCTGGTGCAGGCGTCCAAACGTTATTAAATTCAAATTTATATTTCTAGCTCACTTGAATCTTTCTTTTTATTATGTGTAAAGTCTGTTTTTAAGATGTTGACGAGAATCAACACAGCTTTTTCCTCTGGGGGCTGTGATGTAAACGAACACAGCACTTCCTTTCTTAAGCCACCTTTTTTTGTAATGAAGATGTCTTTATTGTTTGTGGTCTTTTTTAAAATAATTTCTAATAAAT